TTTTATCTCTAGCGATGCGCTTCCAGTGGGGTTCAAAATTACAAAGCTATGGAGTTGAACAATGGTAGCCATAAACTCAAATTTGAGTAGGCTGTTCAGCGAAGGATATAAAATAAAAAAGTCAATAGTCGCAAGTCGCCATACTTAGTAATTTTATGTAATTATTTGGTAAACAACTGTGATGTTCATAGTAAATTCACATTTTCGTGAACAGCACGTGCACATTTTATATGGTAATTTATCTACGCATCGTAGTACAGCAGATTTAGATTTGCCAATTTTTATGTTTGGATGCATCTGCTTTGATATTTGACATGGTTAAATCAAGGTGCGTAAATAGATATTTCAAACAAACTAAAGATAATTGATTAGTATTGTTTATTAATATGAAGAAAAAATATTTCACGTTCAACAGTGAAACTAATAGCGCAAAGAGTGTGTTTATAGGAAACAAAAACATATGGAGAAATCATAATTCAAACATTCAAATCCTTTCGAGATTAGTCCTTAATATCTTTCATGAAATAATTTGAATAAATGATTCCAAGTTAAAGTATTCATTCTATCGTGTAGAAATCTTTCAGAAGTAAATACTTCTGGACTTGTTTGGGAACGCCCAGTTCTTCCACTCCTTCGGGCAACTTAATGTTGTCTCTTAATCTGTTTCTGATGATGCATCTTGTAAGGTGTTTCAGAGATCTTGGACGCTTATCAGAAGTTTCCTCATAATTTACTAGATTGCAGTACCAATGCCATAGGTCATTTATCTTCTGATAGTATCTACGATTGATTCCCTTAAAAAGACTAAAGATATCTGTCTTGGTCAGAAGGTCATCTGGGATAGAGCTCCAGAGTACTCGCACGGCCATTTCAGCCAATTCAGGTTCAACGAGACAAGTGAACCACATATAAAGATGCAGAAGCTGAATCGCACGGAAGTTGAGAGGATTTCTAGACATGTCATCCCAATTTTCCTCCCACTTATCGTAGTCTTCATTCTCATCAAAAAACCTAAAAAGTAAAAAAAAAAAAAATTTACATAAATAGACTCTTATTCAATTTTTGAAACGCGTATAAGAAACGTTACTCTGCTTCAATACATTTTAAAAGTGATTGCCAACACGAAATTATAGTTGGTTCCGTTTTATGGGGATTTGAATTCTTAATTAAAGTAAGAATAAAATGTGGCCCCAATGGGTTCGACAGGAGAGCCTCCAATTCAATTTTTAAAAATAGAATAAAATAACAAAAATTTCATAAAATATCTAGATATAGAATAAAAATCTCAAAATGTGATAATTCAACAACTGAACTATTGGGACAATATATTTCAGATGATAGGTACTCAATGTATTTCAAAGTCAAGAATTCGAAATAAAAGTATTTTCGTTCAGAAGCAATTCATTTTTGTGTCTGATCTTGTAGTTCAACTAAGAAAAATATTGATATAGTATTTAACTTATTTAATAACCCTCCTTTTATTCAAAAGTAATTCAGGGGGATTAGTTTTCTTCACTGTTTAGTGCAGGATAACAACATGAATAACTTTCGTTAAATTGATCCTCTTTCCTCGAACTTTTATAAACATGGCATTTTTGTACGCTATTATATATAAAAATTGACTAATCTCTTTTTAATTTTTGATTTCTTCTCTCTTTTTGCAAGTTTCGCCCACACTAATTATAAAATACTTAACTGTATATCTCCTAGCGTACGCAATTATTATTTTTTTAAAACTTTTTCATACCCTATCTTCCAATAAGTATTTGGACGCGTGTCATTGAAAAGAAAAACTAACTTTATTCATAATCAATAGTTGGTAGAGCAAAAGCCTCCACGAGAGGCAGCGTGAACCCTCCGGGGCATACTTTCCACTAATCCTTGTGAGACGGCTATAAAAAAATGGTATTATATGGTAGTGGTATTATACTTATATAGTGGTATTATTTTATAGTGGTATTTTCTTCCATTCGGCTTGGAGAAGACATGCAAGTTCCTTCACCGATTTTGGACGGGTAGTACACTCCTTAATTCTTCGATCCAACTCGTCCCAGAGGTTCTCGATAGGGTTCAGGTCTGGGCTCCTGGGCAGGCCAGTCTATTCTATTAACCCCATTGGCTACATACCAAGCCTTGGTGACCAGCGCAACATGACAGCTGGCATTGTCCTCCTGGAAGTAACAGGGATACACCTCGTAAAACTGCCACAACGTAGGAAGCACATTGTCATCCAAAATAGTGCAATAGGCATCTTGCCTGGGACTAATGCCGATGTTGTTTCCTGCACGATATATATCGGCGGAGGGTGTGACATATCTCCTCACCGCAGATATAGTCATTTGCATAGGTGTCCAAATATTTATTGGTAGATTAAATTGGTATTTTAAAGTTGTTAAAGTTGCAAAGTAAAGTAATGGGATAATGATTCGACGTCGCTTCAAAATTTGGCTACTTTATAAAAAATTATAATTTATTAATTATCAGAAGCATGCTCTTATTATTATTTGCTAAAAAGATAAATTACTTATATTTTATAAAGTTATATAAGAATTGTTTGTCCAGTTTTTTTTTTCGTACCCCTAATGTTCTTTGAGTAAAATATAAAACAATAACTGTATATTTTATTTAGAAAAATTTACACGGTTTAAAAAAGCAATGAAAATTAGTCAATTGAAAATCTACACTCACAGAGGCAATTTGGATTTGATATATAGAATATGTGTTTTATGTTAGTTAAATTTTTAACTATCTTTGTTATGTTAAGCATGTGGACAATATTTTCGGAACCATAAAACATACATTTTGCACAATGTTTAAAAAATCTGACAAAAAATATAAAATCCAGATATAAAATATAAAGTGAAACTGCTCCTTTAAAAAAAAAAAATGTCTATATAAAGCCCAACTATCGATATATTCAGCGAAATAAAACTCGAGAATTGCATAAAAATCTTGTCAGTCAATAACTTGAAGTCAAAAATCATTTAGAATCGCGTGCATTGTTTCGATACATAATTTAAGAAAAGCATTTTAGAATAGATAGAAATCTTTAACAATGTTAAAATTCTGTGGAGGATCCTTTAATTTATTTCTTGGATTTTTTAAATCAATGTAAACATACTAATTTGATTTTAAACAATATTTTAGGCTTAAACAGGACTGCTACAATAAATCTACAAGAAAAAAATTGGAAAAAATTTTTTAGAAAAATATAATAAAAAGAAAAAAATCTAAAAATTAACCAATTTCGTTAGATAAAGTTCAAAATTATTATTTTAAATTTAAAGAAATGGACAATCAAGACATAAAAAGCATTACAAATGAATCTTCAGAAAAGTTAAAAAAAGACACAATGGTTCTCTAATACCCCAATGATGCACTTGCTTCAGCTATAGAAGAATAAAAAACACTTAAAATTGCTAATAAAAGTTGCAAAAAAAAAGAGTAAAAAGTAAGTGTAAAAAAGTCTTAAACTGATGAATTTTACTTGCTAAAAAAATCTATATATATTTCTCTGAATTAAAACAAATGGGTGGAGGAACGATATAGCATAAGAAAGACATCTACGACTCATCTTTAGAGGTAATAAGAGATAATAAGAAGAGAATAAAAAATTAATAAATAAAATATTGACAAAGAAATTCAGAAAATTGGAAATTTTGTTTGATGAAATACGAAATATATTATTTCAATCTGAAAGAAATTAGTTACAAAGAATGAAGAATCTCATAATTATAATCTACGATACATTTATGTATTAATAGAAAATAGGTAAATGTAAAAATATATAAAATTGTAGTAATACAAAAAATGTAAAGAAAAAGAAAAGCATAAAAAAGAATCCTGGAAAAACACTTATTAAGTTCAAAAAATGAAGGAAAAAAAAGAATTTTGTTTGAAAAAATACAAAATTATAATCCTGAATTAATACTAATGGGTAAAATAAAGAGAAAGAAGTTTAGGAATTAATCTGTACAATACATTTATTGCATTTTTTTAAAAAATCAGAAAATTTTGAAGGATAAAATAAAATTTATTATTCTGAATTAAAACAAATGGGTAAAGAAAAAANGTGAAAGAAAGAGAAAAAAAAAATATCCCTACTATGAATCTATAAAGAGAATGTGTTTAAAAAAAAATGACTCGAGAATAAGTGAAATTAAAGCAAAAAATGAAAAATAAATATGAAAGTAAGAAATTTTGTCTCATAAAGTATAATGTTACTTTGATAAAAAAAAAAAAAAAAATGGGAAAAAAAATTATAAGGAAGCAAGTATCTGATGTCAATTATTGAGAATTGCTTGTTCCAAAATATATTAAGGAATCAGATATATTCTAAAAACAATGTCAATAAACTAAGATTAATGAGCAAATGCTCTACGCCCTAATGAGCACTGCACCCTAATGTTATGGTAGGGGGCGTTTTCAAATGTAAATATAACGAATTCTGGTGCAATTTTCCTTAATAATAGCTTTAAAAAGATTTGAAAGTTGCATTAGCTCTACATTTTTTTTAAAATTATTATATTCAATCTACTACTACTCTTAAAAGTATATTTTTTAGTATTCAGCGCGATGAATCTCAAAATGATAAAACTAAATTTAGATAATGATACTAATTATTTCAATAAAGGTTAAAACATAAACAAGTAAAAAAAATTTAAGCAGAAAAGTAACCGAAACAAAAACTTACAATTTAAAGAGGGGCCGAAAGAGGTACAGGTCTTCCATTACTGTGGTTCCGTTAGAGGCTCCTGCTTCTGTTATTCTGATGAATGCTATGAGATTTGTTGCGAAACTACCGTGAGAAAAGTCGACTTCGTATAATGGAAATTTCTTCTTGAACATTGTCCAGAGATTCAATTTAAGTTCCTTAATCACTTTTAGAACAATGTCAATAGTCTCCCCTTTATTATCTACAGCATTAAAATACATATGATGCAATATGCCATTAAAAGTTGTATCTCTAATGTTATTAGCTTTATCTCTATATGAAAGAAGAAAGCGTTTTTCGTCAACGGTAAAATATTTATTTGAAGATGTAGCAATAAAGAAGTCTAGGTCGTCTAAGCAATAATAATCACCCTGATTATTATTAAGGTATTCAGCCATATCGTATTCAGTCATAGAATTCTGAAAAGTTTAATACTAAGGCCTAGTATCGATTGGTAAGACTTCCAGTTAGTAATAGATTCAAAGTTATTAAACTAGTTGAACCCTGATGACTGCAAGTACGCATGCGCATTGTACATTTTGAACTGGCCAATAGGATTGAACGTCATACGTACGCATGTATGCCGTCACCTTTTCTAAAGGCTAGTAGACTCCTCCCCCAGTACGCTTGACTTACAACCCACGTGGTTTGTGCATTTTCCTCCCCCCCCCCTTCCAAAAAAAGTCTTAATCTTTAAAAAAATAATAATAATAATTGATTAAAAAAGAAAGAGTATATTTTCTTCCTAAAACACAAAATTTTTATAGTTTTATGTATGAAACTGCAAGATTAATATGATTATGATTAATCATAACGAAAGTAATGGTTACTTAGATTTGTAAGCTAATTAACTGTAATTGGAAGAAAAAAAAATATTTAGACTGAGAAATCCAAAATATGTGGCACAATAACCTAATGAGTCTGCAACATATTGGTACGTCATTTTCGTTTAAAAGTCAATTTTCGCAAATTCTTTTTACATTACTGTTATATAAAATTAGGTTACATTGTTTTTTTTTAAATATATATATAAGACAAATAAACTTACGGCTTCAAGATTTAATACATGAAAAATAATATGAATATGCGACAAAATTTAGTTAAATATACCGACTTGAAAAAAAACAACTTTATTTAAGTATATTTTGGGACGCAAAGTATATTTAATTTATACATTGCAGCTTTTAAAGATTCGTTAAAGAACACTTCTTTCACTTGAATCTTTCCATATCAAATTGATGGATTCTTAAAGGATCAATATTTTTATTAGAAATTTTGCGCATTTTAATAAAAATTACGTTTTTTAGCGACTTTTTTACATTGATGTACTTTTACATCTTGGAAAAATGACCGGTTGTTTACTTTACTTAAGTCGCCACTTATTGAATTTACGAGTGGTTATTTTCAGGTCTTCAGTGAGCCAGATCTGAAGTGACCGCATTAAAATATATTACATACTAATTTAAGGCCAAAACAGTCCATTTTAACAAAGCAATGCTTTACTTAAATGCGAATTTTTTAATGCAACATTTTTTCTCATATTTATAAGTAGATAAAAGTATTCTTTAAATTATTACTTCATAGGTTAAAAATGAACTAAAAATAATTGTTTGTGACTTTTATTTTTGAATAGAGTTTGAAAATATGTTGCCCCTGATATTGATTTCAGCATCTCTTATAACTTTCTCTAGAGCAACATTAAAAAGAAGACAGGATAAGGAGTCTCCCTGTCAGACTCCATTATTTACTTTAATATCTCCAGATAAAGATCCCAAAAGTTTGACTCTGCATTCAAATATTGGCGTATGCGGATGATTAAAAAAAATCCTGTTACACAAACCCCTAAAGAACACGAAATGAGGTAGACCCAGGCTGAGATGCTTGGATTTAGTTGAGACTGATTTCCTTACTCTAAAGGAGAAAAACTGGCGAACAAGTGTCAAAAGTAGAGAGAAGTGGATTCGAATTCAAAGGAAGGAACTGGCCCACCCTGGGCTGTCTAGCCAGATATGATGATGATGACTTTTATTTTTAATAAATAGCATACCATAAGATGATTTTGCATACAACATGCTTTTACGCGAAAATAAATTGATTTGCTGACAAACTGAATTGTTGAATGGCTGAAATTGCACAAAAACTGTGAATACAGTTTTCAAAGAAAAAAAATATGATTGATAGTTTTATTGTATATTTTGAAAAGAAATACAGACTATGAATTACGACCACCTATGCCTAAAGATGAGAATTTAGGGAATCCTTCCTTTAAAGGGGATTCAAAGTGTTCTACATTTATTTTGTAGTCAAAAAGAAG